AATGGTTTATGAAACATCTGTACTTGATGCTCAAGAGGGTATTCGATTTCGTGGCAAAACAATCGAAGATTGTCAAAAAGAATTACCAAAAGCAAAAGGAGGTGAACAACCACTACCCGAAGGCCTCTTTTGGCTTTTGGTAACTTCCAAAGTACCAACACAACAACAAGTATGAAGATCTTCAACTTCTTAAAAATGTTGGAGGTATATGAGAATTTTCTCTATTTAGGTAGAATGGCTAACAAGGGAATGGAATAATCGTGCTCATATTCCTCAACATGTTGTGACAATGTTGAATAATTTTCCTAATCAACTACATCCAATGTCTCAATTTAGTGCTGCTATCACTGTATTGAATTTAGAAAGTAAATTTGCTAAAGCGTATTCAGACAATGTTCATAAATCAAAATATTGGGAGGTAAATCTTCATTTTTATTTGTATATTACGTACCTAATGCTTTCTTTCTGTTTCAAGTATATCTATGAAGATTCCATGGATTTAATTGCCAAATTACCCACAGTTGCCGCTATTATTTATCGTAATTTGTATCGTGACGGTACAGCAGTTGGAGCAATCGATTCCAAAAAAGATTGGTCATGGAATTTTTCATCGATGCTTGGCTATGATAATAAACAATTCACAGAACTCTTGCGTCTTTATTTGACGATTCATAGGTTTGTGCTTCTTTTTTGCAGAAAGGGCCTTAAAAATAACTACGGATATGTTTTCTCTAATTTTTAGTGATCACGAAGGAGGAAATGTTAGCGCTCATGCTTCACATTTAGTTGGTAGCGCACTTTCGGACCCATATTTATCGTTTGCTGCAGCCATGAATGGTTTAGCAGGACCCTTACACGGTCTTGCAAATCAGGTAAAAATGAAAAATAGCTGAACTATTCTAATAATCACTAGTAGCACGTTTTATATATACAAGATGCATCATGGAGCTTTCAAAATGACTAAAAACATCGTCCCTTTTGTAAATTGATCATCTACGAAGTTTGCTCCTTTGTTTACTCGGTAAAGAATACTCGTTATTCACTCATATATCTAACTACATTCAGCGGGTTTAATGCGATATTTGTATCCATTTTTAGGAAGTTCTTATATGGATCACAAAATTAATCGAAAAAATTGGCGAAAATCCGACCGACGATCAAGTTAAACAATATATTTTGGATACATTGAAAGCAGGTATATTATTTGTTTTCTCCAAAACGGATTGTTTGTTTTTAACAGCACTACTTCGTTTCTTTGTAGGTGTTGTTGTACCCGGTTTCGGTCACGCTGTACTACGCAAAACTGATCCACGTTATACATGTCAAAGAGATTTTGCATTGAAACATCTGCCAAACGATAGCATGTTCAAAATTGTCTCACAATTATACAAAATTGTTCCACCGATTTTGCTAGAAGGAGGAAAAGTGAAAAATCCATGGCCAAATGTTGATGCACACAGTGGAGTACTTTTACAGGTAAATCTAACACGAGATACACATTGTATACAATTTTTAAGCTATATGATTGGACTTCACTACAGTTGAGAAAACTCTTTTTCAAGAAAGTCTGTTTCATTCTATGGCTAAGTAATAATTTCACATACATTCTTATTATCTTCTTTTACGTAGCATCATGGTATGAAAGAAATGAATTATTACACTGTTCTGTTTGGTGTCTCTCGTGCATTGGGTGTTCTTGCTCAAATGATTTGGAGTCGTGCACTCGGTTTTCCATTAGAACGTCCAAAATCAATGTCAACTGATGGTCTTATGCAACTTGTTAAAAAACAACCTGCTCAACAAACACAAGCAAAAGCCGCTTAAAAGATGACGACGTAATAAATCAAATCAATTATTTACAATATACAACAGAATACATATGCGTGTGTTTGACATTTTTTCTCCTCCACACCAGCATGTTCACTTGTCTATATTTTTACAAAAGTAAAACAAAACACTTTTTTTTTATATAGATAGTTTTTACCTCTGTGTCTCTGTTAGAATCTCTTATATATTCTGTCAAGAAATGGAATTACTAATCTTGACACATACACTTTTGACTTTCCGTTCTTACCCGATGATTAATATTTCTAGTTTTGTGGAAATATTTTTTCTCTGTTAAAAACATGTTCATCGACTTTTTCTTTTTTCAGTCTAATAGGTAATAAATTCGTATATAAGGGAAAACACAAGCGAATAATTGCATTTCAAAGTTGGACCTCTCTGAAACTTTGAGGACATAGATAATCATGAACCATATTGCATAAAGACAGAACGGTGTTTTGTTTATTAATGCAGTATAATCATTATAGAAGTGATTCTGCATGAAATATGCCCCTACACGAAGATTATGTAGCTGGAATGACAAGACTTCAAAGTGGCTGTTTAAAAAAATATAAAATTAGTTTAAGTAAATAAGCAGTAAAGTCCGTTACTATTCTATGCTATATTATGAAAATACTTCTTTCTCTAAGGTGTTTTGTCAACCTAACTGTTTCTAAAGGTTCCGCAATTCTTTAATGATATTCTCGCAAAAACTAGGGAAAATTTTTAAAACTAACTTATATAATGTCTAAATCAATACGTGCTTAGTTTAGCCATTTTTACCTTCCCTTAGTTTAATTTTTTATGTTTGAAAAAAGAAGAGACATTTCTTTCTAAGCGAAAACAAATTTTTCTCTATCTATGACTCATTTTTGCGCTACAAGCAAAAGAAAATCTATGAAATGGGTTTGCAAAAATGATTCATAGATAGAGAAAAACAATGGGAATGAGAATAGAATGAATGAGAATCAATCGCATTCTTTTTAACTGCTAGAGCTCTAATTTATCATGGATAAAAAGAATGTAAACAGTATAGTGAGGATCTACAATCAGAAGCGAGTTATTTAGAATGCAATTTTATCATGTTTTACCACTATATTTCTAAGAGGTAGAGATTTTATTCAGATTTTTGAGTTTATCTTCAAACTATAGTAACCTAAAGACCTTTCAATACGAAAATTTCTGTATTTCTGTAATATTCTTCTATATTCAGCTCAACTTGGCAAATGTTGTGTAAGAATGAAGAGAAAGATGTTTTGGTTTCATGTGAAACGACAGCCATTTCCAAAATGAAATTTCCACTGTGAACTCAGGTTATTCGCTAAAAGAATTTTTTTAATCACTGGAATGTTAATTGACCGTTATACATGCAGTTAAAACTGTTGAACGTTATGCTAAGGCATCAAAGACTATTTTCTCAATGATCGATTGGCGAATCTTGGTATTTGTATTCTGTAAAATTTCAAGCAAAAAGACTTCAATCTGTCTACTTTTAAGTTTTAAGTTAAACTGTTCGTATCACGCACCTAACGATTTATTTGAGAAATTATACTTGAGATCTATCAGAGATCACTTAGCAAAAGTTTTACGAGTTTTTTCACAGATTCTTCTGTAAGTGAATGGATTTAGATACTGTGACACTTTTCGAATAGAAACAAAGTATCTTTTAGCACTGGATCCGAAACACGTTGCTCTTTACTCAGTTGATGCTTCTATCAAAAATTATTGCAGAAAGCACTTTTTTCGCTAAAAATTTCATTGTAATCAGACAGCGCATCAATGAATATGTAGTTAGAGTTGGAATAGTTGTCATTATCCAGAGTTGGAGTTGTAACTCGTCCAACCGCAGTTCCATCGATCAAGCCGAGTTGATAGTTATAACTAGGGTGTTAACTATATCAATCTTTTTAGAAATTTTCTCAACTTTTAACTTTCAAAAACAGTTTTAAACCCATCAGTGTCATGCACACGAGCATATTCCTAATGCGGCATTTTGAAATGTGTCCGATCTAAAAAGGGCACATTTTTATGTCGATGGACCTTATGCATTTGTTCAGGGATTTTTTTGTTTTCTTGTTTAGTCATCGTTTTTGCAAAAAAGTGAGTCGCATAGTCCAGAGAACTACGTAACATAGAGACGTTCTGAAAATGGGAGACAGGTCTCTTGGTATTGACTGTGAACCATTTTATGTTCTTCTTTTAAACAAAAGTCCAGATTCGGTGAGATAAGTTTCACAGGTAGAACAAAAATGTGTTTGTGTACAAATCTTCTAATTACGGAATTTTTTTTCACATACATGCATCTAATAAAAGATATACTAAAGGAATTTTAAAATTTATTCATTGATTGTTGAAACGGTTTGGAATAATCACAATAAAAAGAAAGAAGAATCGCTAATCACTCCGCTAAAATTATTACAAGCTTCTTTATAATATTTACTGCTTCTTATCTTTTATGTATTTGCCTAAAGAAGATCATACTGTGCTGATGTATCACCTAAGCACGTAGCCTCAAAAGTGCCTGAGTGCTGTTTGTCGATACTGTGAAAAGTTACTGCTTATTATACATTTTGTTTTTGTATATTTTCCAGGCTCAATCCCATCCAGCATTTAAGCATTTCAATATTGTTGAACATATTTAAGCATCGTTTGAGCACTATTGAGTACATTTTAAAATGATCTCTCTGTCCCTGTTTATCTGACCAGTGTCTATCGACATCGAAACTTGTGCGCAGCACAACTGCATTCTAGTTTATAGTATCGAAAAACTATTATGATTTTCAAGATATAGAAACAAATCGAAAAGACTTTGCTCTACTTTTTGCTTGTTGAACACTTTACTTTTGTTTTATCGCATATATCAATAACGATGCTACAATAGCAAAACTGAATTATACTTTTTGTATAAATATGTAAAATAATATATTAAAAAAATGACGTATTTTGACTTACACACACATAGAAAAACACATTTTTTGCACGAAATCGAGAGATTCATTTGTTACTGTAGTTGACTAAATATACATAGAAAATAGTATGAGAGAGGCAGCAAAACAATAAATATAAGATTATTGATCATGCAAAAAGATAAAAAGAAACTTGTCATAGTCATAGTGAGAGAATATTCTGATAATTTTGTTTTCTTAGAATAAAAAACGCTAACAAAAAATTTTTCGTTAAAATATTGGACGTGGTTGATGAAAATCTGTTTTCTCTAATCGAGGTATGACATTTATTTGTTGACGCGTATGACGAGCATTATATGAATAAGACAAATGTACTGATTCATTTGATTCAGTATTCCATTCGATCATAAATATAATTTGACGTGTACGAGGTGGTAATAGATCAACAGTTAAAAACATTTGTCTTGAACTTTGTACATTTTTAGGTTGCTCCATGTCAGTGTTAACATTCAAGTAATAATTATCAGAGCCATTTTCAACCACAAATATAATGCAATCAAGACTATTATCTTTTAATGTATAGTATTTACAATTGTGAACCTAAATAAAAAAACAAGACAGATATAAAAAGCTTTACAGAAGTATGTTTTTAATCGAATTGTTTTTCATTGTAGAATAAAAGATTTTCTATTTTATCTACTTCGCTAGTAAAACTTTTTAAAACAACGATCTCTCCTATAAGACGTCAAATCTTTCTTAAAATTTTAAGATTTTTTATCTTGAATCGGCAACTTTCCGAAAAAAATTGAGATACTTAAAATCTCGATATATATTCCTGAAAAAATTTCACAATACTCGAGAAATTGAACAACATAGAAAATGACATCGATACTCATGAATGTTTTATTGAACAATATGATAAACTATAGTGCAATGTACAAGTAAAATAGATTAGAATTACCCACTATTTCACATATCAAATTAGAGCATAGATATTTATTAAAACATGTAGCACTTATACTCGACGATAATAAAAAATAATAACTAAATTTGAACAGAAAAGAGCTGATTTTAAACTAGTACATTTTTTTATATAGATTAGAATTTTATAAATACTGAAAAAAATCTTGAGTAAAGTAATAGATGACAGAATATTTACATATTACAAAGTAATCGGGGTATAAAGCCATATAAAGATACGTTGAGTTAAGGTCATGAATCTTAAATGTTCGTATATCCAGCGCAAATAATAAACTATTTTATAGTTAGTCAAAATGCGGCAAACAACTAATTTGGTTTGAGCTATGAATATTGTTATTGAATCATGAATCAAGCATGAAACCGATATTTTCTCAACAGCTCTCTCTTTCAATCGATAATAAATACAAAAAATAATTAACGGTGTAATTTTTATTTTTGTTTACCAAAAAATTAGTCTTTTTATAGGTGACTAAGAATCCGAAAAGCGTTTCTATTAAAATTATTAGTTTTTGGAAAGAACTGTGGTTTAATTGAAAATTTGATATGTTATTCTTACCCTGTTTGATACTTCACCATTTTTCATAACAGCTGCTACTAAACAATCTGATAATGATGTCATTGGTTCAGAATCGACAACGGTTAAATCTATTGAATTTGATGAATGAATTACAATTGTGTATTTCAATGACGTTTTATGTACTCTATCTGACCAAAAACTGGTTGAAAATGGAATTAATATATAACTGCCGTTTCTTAGTAGACCCTAAATCGAATTTAAATACGAATAGACTTAGAAAATAGTGGTATGATAGAAAATAAACTTACGTCCCAATATGTAAATCCGCTTCTTCTACTTCTGATGATTGCTGTTATTGCACCAATATTTCTTGTTTTATAATCAATATCACATAATAAAAATGTTTGCGTATGACGTGTATGCTGTTTCCGATCTTTCTTGTGATGAATGAGACTAATGTTAATCTGTGATGTTGTATCCAAATGAAAATAGTAGGCATTAATTGATTGACTAGCATTTGTTGTAAATTGTCCATCTAATCGTACGTCGAACATATCTGGTTGCCATCGACAAATAGTTATTGTTGAAAAATATCGTAAAAAAGATGGCCATGATATCCAAAATGAGCCGGAAGTAGGTTGACTTTTTTGAATGTTTTGTAATAAATTTAATGTGTCACGTGTTACATGTTCATCTTCGTATCTTGTATTACTGTGAGGATCACGAACGAGTATAAAACGTTCATCACGAGATAGTGAATATACTTTTAATATTGAAAATGCATGATTACTGTGAATTTTAACATTTGCATATTCATCACGTGAAACGTCAGTACGTCCAGTTGATGCGCCAATCAATAAACTAAAACACATGTTGTTGATTAAAAAACACTTAGCTGTCAATCACAAGGGGAAAAAACTTCACTTTAAGTGCCTAAGTTTTGAAGTGCCACTTAAGTGATTAAGCGCCACTTCAAATTTAACATCTTCCTGGAAAATCAAGAATTTTAGCTCACTTTTGCTTTTCCCTCCTGTATGTTCTGAAATATAAATTGTATAGACTAACAGTATTTACAATTGTGAAAACTTCCAAAGACATATCCGTTCTCCGAAGGAGATGTTTGAAGTTTATTTTACTAAAGAGAATCCTAGAGAAAAATGGACCTCGGAAAATGTTGGGTTTGTATAGTCTTAATTTCTTGTTAAGAATAGGCACGAATGTTAGTAGGTAATAGATTAATTAATGCGACTGTTTCGGCCTGTTTATTCGGTCATTTTCATTTCAAGTTTGAAAATGACCGAATAAACAGGTCGGAATATCCAAATGAAATGTTTCAAAACAGTCGCATTAATTAATCTGTTCTGCATTAAATGCTTGCCTATTACAGTTTTTAATGTTAGTAGGCAAGCCTGTGGAAATATAGTTGCGCCAGTGTTTTGCTAGAGGACTTACTACCCCTAGTAAAGGTCACGGAAGTTTTCACACTTTGTGCTTCGCAGGCGCAACGCTGACAAGCTTTTTAACTACTATCCGTTCCAAAACACCGTGCACTTGGTTGTTTTGTAAATAGCTTTTGATGGAGATGAGATGCGGTTTTCCGTTTGGAAAACTAGACACCTGACCACATATTTGTGTAAGGAGAAGCGAATTTCGGAAAAACTTCTGAAGCGGGATCTTTGGAAAACTAGCTTGGGTTTGCTTACACAAATATGTGGTCAGGCGTCTAGTTTTCCAAACGGAAAACCGCAGGTCGCCATCTCATCTCCATCAAAAGTTATTTACAAAACAACCAAGTGCACGATGTTTTGGAACGGATAGTAGTAATACAAAGAAATATGGCAAAGTCGAATTTTGCTAATATTTTTAAATGATTTTAAATAGATGAATATAGCCTAGAAGAAAATACAAAGTTTTTCATTGAAGTCTGAATGTGTGAAGGTAAATGAAAGTTATTTTCCTTGAGCGTGATTCAGTCTATCCGCCGACAAACGCTCCATCTTATCCGTTGAATACCAACATGCGATCTGCTTATGAAGATATTTGATTTTCTCGTTAATTTCAATTTGAAAGAAAGATTTTTTCTTATTTTCATTTACTTCATTGAGTATCCTAATTTCCGAAACGTTTATTTTATCCGATAATAAGGGTCTCATGTAAAAAAAAAGCAACATTAACATTCAATACCATGTCATTTTTGGGCTACAAAAAGCGAAATGAGTTACTTTCTTAAGCATAACGAGGAAAATTAACAATCACTCCTGCTCAAATCTTATTCAAAACAGAAAAATAAATGTGGCACTTAAAGTGGCTAAGTGACGCATAAAATGACTGCCGCTTATAAGTGTATGCATCTTTTTAGGAGATGGTTTACCCCTTGGTCAATGAGCACAAAAACGATCTACAACTGTTTAAAATCAGGTTGTTGTGCCGTATAGTAATCGTAATTTGACTAAGATAATTAATATCTTAGAATAGTTTATTCACCATCAATTTCCATACATTAAAATTGTGTTAATTTCATTACATACTTTGATTAACAGCTTAAAACACGAGATTGGGTGATCGAAGTAAGGAAATGAGAGTAAGTCAGTTTCGCAACATCATGAGCTGATACCCTCCCTAATGATTAATATTCTGTATGTGAATACATCGGTACTTGAGTGACTTTTATACATCTAACATGTTGATTGAGCATCTCAGATCAGGTAGCTAAGCAATCTACAGATACTCAACTCCAGTAAACGTTAATTTAGAAAGATGTTAAGGAATGATTATAAGGCGAGACTCAGGGGAATAAAAAAACAAGTTTCTTACTTAATTTCACATGCACTCAGTAATTTTGCCCATAATACATCTGGATCCATCTGCTCTTCACTACCATGACGTGCTAAACGATTATTTTCTAAATAAAAATGATCGCATGGTGCCCCAGTAAATAATTGCAATCCTTCAGATGTTTGGCCACCAATCAATTCGGAATATGAACCAAATATTTTTGCACAGGCCTTTTCAATTAATGGAACATAAAGTTGTCGACGTTTTGCCTATTTTCAGAATTTAGGCATATAGAAAGAGAATAAATTATGTAGTCTCGAGCTTACTTGTGTAAAGGCTAACACTTTCCATGATGTACAAGGAAAACAGTCATCAATCATTACTGTAACCCATTGTCCATTTTTACAGATACGAACTAAATAAATTCCTTCATTATTCACTTCTTTTGTTAATACTATATATTGAAGCATTTCTGGACGTTCCGTAATCAAAGACAACGCAGCCATTAACCTTCAAACGAAAAACATAAAACATTACTCATGTCTAGAATATAGAAAATATACCACCGTGATATACCGATGTCTAGAAGAAGATACCGTGCGGTATACCAGCAATAAATTACACGGAATTTTCAAAATACCGCCAGTAAAAAACGAATATCGCTAGTAGTTTTTTTTGTTGTTTTAGACTGGTCCATAGTCATCGATAACAGTCACCATAGGTACAACGGATTGTGTAACTCAAGTCAAAGTTCATGTATTTTGGTGAGTCAGTGAAAGTAAAGTTAGAAATATCTCTTAATTTTTTGTCGATATTATATACTCCTCTAAGAAAACAAAAAGACAAAAAACTTTGAAATGGTGTACCGAATGGTATTCTCCGCACCATTGTGTGGAGAATAACCTCCGATCATCGCTGATATACCGAGGAGTTTGAGATTATACCTCGGTAACCGAAGGTATTAAATAAAAGAGTTCGACATGAATAATTATGGTCGTCAGTTATTTTTATATTGTCTAAAACAAAGAGTTTTCACAATATTCTACGGAACATTTCGCAAACCAGTCATTTTCAAAAACCTTCATTTAAACTGCAAAGTGAGTATATCATACCAGCAATCACCAAGTTGGCCTTGCTGTATATCTGACGGATTTGGATCTGCTAGCATTACCGACCAGGCCAATTTAGCATCTTCACGTGAATTTGGCGCAATATCATGTCTTCTTAACCATTGAACGTTAGTATCAAAATTTTCATAACCAATTGATCGGGGAATTGGAGGAAATGAATCATCAACAAAATGATAGTTATTCTAGAAGGAGAAAAGATAAACACATCTGCATCTATTCTTTACAAACAATAACTTAAGATGTATTCTACCGTTCGACAATATTTAATTATTTGTGCAAAAGTTCTTTCACCATCTGTTTCATCGTTTTTCTGTCGTACTTTAACCGAAAGTGCTGGTATTGATAAAGTTTGACTAGAATTCGATGTTGAATTGATCAAACCAACTGAGCTTTGTTCGCACTGGGCACAAATTGATTTCCCATTGGAAGTCTAGATATACAAAAACGTGATTTAGCGGGTAAAAGAGAAACCACAAAAGATTTTTTTTCAAGTCTACAGTCGAAAATAAAACTATTAGTATAAGGCATGACTTCATTTTCTTTCTTTCCAGTATACATTTTCCTTTCTTTGAAACAGAACACAGCACTTTTCTTTCACATAAATGGCTACTGAGTGTGAGGGTAGTTTCACGATATACATACATATCTTGTGTAACATGCTCACTGATTAATAAACTACAGACTTACTGATGTTTTACACTGTTGACATTTCGTTGTTGTTTTGAATGTATCTGCTGTTGTATGTTTTAGTATTGACTTTTGATTTTGACTTGACGATGTTCCACTTTTCGTTCTTGTTTTGAAACACATCTGACATATGTTTTCATGTTTTACATTTAAATATGTACAGTACGAACAATTCCAGTTCGTTGACTGTTTACGTAAATTAAAACACATTTTACATTTTGAATCAGCAAATATATTTGCAAATGTACACCTCGAACAGTGCCAAGTATCATTAGTTATTTCTTCCATTTAATATTTTACTGTTAGATCTAAAATAGTTTTAAAACTGATTAATAAATCTTCATTTTTACCTATGCATATTATCGTACCGGATTCGAGTTGAAAACAGCAGGTTAACTAACACTCTGTTCGTTTTTTCTCCGTTTCTCTCGAATGCGTATACAAAAGAACAATAAAATAATATTAATGATGATGACGTACTCTTTTTGCTCGATTCTTTTTCTACATCCACACAATCATGATATACTTTGTAGTACTACTACAGACAATGACTAACAGACGTAAAAATAAAATAAAGAACAGTCACCATTATTAATATGGTAGAAAAAATTTGGAGATGGTAGGGAAAAATATAGTTTTCTGAACAGAGGAGACAATTCTCGATTTAACCATGTAAAACTAATTTAAGTTTAACATAATTACAGTACCAAAACGACGAGCTATATTCGCTTCTTTTGTTTTCTTGTACGATTCAAATATGGTAGTTCAACTATTTTTCTGTTTTGTGTGTCATTCAATGCATTCCGTTAAGTAAAACGGTCTCAGAATCACTTTTTACTCTCCGTTACGTTTTTGTCGGTTTTTGGAACAACTTAGCAGAAGTTCAAAAATGAAGGATCTTTAAATTTAGTGTGTTCACTAGTGCAGAATCTGTAAATTGATTTTCGTCGAATAAACATATTTCTTTGAGGTGTGATGCACGCGCGTATATACGATGTCTTCGAAGAAAATGATAGTTCATTAGTTGATAGTTCAATAGTTTTCCAGATTAGTCGTGAACTGTCAGCTACCATAAAATTTCAAAAAGCTAACGCAATTTTTGAAGTATGCAAAATGACAATATGGCGGCAAAAAAGACAAAAATAACATTGATTTTAATCTCTCTTATGGAAATGAAATTTTTTTTGATAAAATTCACCTTAAAGCACTTGATAAATGGGCAAGTTTTGAGCGACAATTTGGCAAGAAAAAAAGAGTTTTTCAACAGTAAGGTCTGAAGAGTTCCAACGTATCAAAACTTGTAATGAATCAGTGGCTCAACAAACATGTTTATGGGACTTGAATCAGAGATCTCTTTTATTCATTATATACTCCAATGTTGTATTCAGACAAAGTCGACATCATTGGTTTTTAGTCCTAATATTTGTCAAACAATATTTCTCGCAGAACTAACTGTTCATTTTCGCATGACTTGCTACAGCTGTGTGGTCGGTTAAAGGGGATTTGTTAATAGTAATCTGATCAGTAGCCTTAATTTGTGTGAAACTTATTGTGTGTTTTGTAAAGTCTGATGTTCATTAAACTTTAAATGAACCAGTAGAAGGAAGACATAGAAAAAGCATACAAATGAAGTAAATTTGAAGACTTAATTCTCCATTTTCGAAAGATGGTTTTAAAAGATTTTCATCTATATTTGTAAATAAGATCATTTTTCAAAAAAATGATTGTTACGAAAATTTTCGGTCCAGCGAAATCGGAACCAAAGCTAATCATTGATAAACGATCTAAAATTTGAATACCAGAAAGTATTATAACAGCAGCTAGAAAATATACACAATAATAATATATTATAATACTTTCTAGTATTCAAATTTTAGCTAATTTATCAATGAATCAAAAAATAGGCAGCATTACGAGCATCTAGATTAGATATTGATTGATATAAAAATATCAATCAATAGTTAGTGGATCTTTTAGTGAAGTTAACCACTACACTGATTTACCAAGCTTTCGACCTGTTTATTCTTCGGTCATTTTCAAGGCAAATGACAAAAAGAAAAAACATGTACAGTATAAGAAGAAACAGAACGAACTAAATAAAATAAAATAAAATAAAATCTTTGGACTTGCAAGTCTAAGTTCGAAGAACTTTTCACTGTCACCATCGATGTCCCTCAATTAGGACATTACAAGTTCTTCTCAAAAAACATTCAGTTCGAACTTTGTGTCATTGATTGCCGTTCCTTTGTATACGTTAGAAATCAATGCTTCCTTGCATACTCGTCTTCTCCATTCTGTTTCCTTTGCAACCACAATAACATTTTCGAAATTCATTGAGTGTCCGGTGTTCTTGACTTGTTCAACGATCTTAGATGTTAGTGCAGATCTTCTAACTTCATACTCATGCTCTCTCGTTCGAATGTGAAGTTGTCTGCACGTTTCGCCAATGTACTTTTTTTCACAGTCATTACATAGCCCTAGTGAATGTACTCTGCTAGAAAAACCGGACGAGTACTCATACGTACTCATACATTTTTTTACTCACTGAGTACTCACCTGAGTACTCATGAGTGAGTAACAAGTACTCTGAGTACGACTTTGAGTACTCATGCT